TCAACATCCTTTCATGATTATAATAATAAATTAAGAACAGGAGGGAACTTTCCTAAATTTGATAAAGGGCATCTATAAAAAGGCCATAGTTAATATCATTCTCAATTGGGAAAACCTGAAAGCTTTCCATCTAAGATTAAGAATACTTCATCACTTTTACCACTTCTTTCACCATTATGTTACAGGTCTGAGTCAGGGCTATTAGGCAATGAAGAAAATAAGGTATCCAGATTGGAAAAGAAAGAAGAAAACTGTCTCTATTTGTAAGTAATATGATCTTGTACATAAATTACAAGAAACCCTGGCTGGTGTGGCTTAGTTGGTTGGAGCTTAGTCCTTTACTCCAAAAGGTGGGTTCAATTCCAGGTTAGGGGACAGGTTTTCGGTGTGATTTCTGGTCTGGGCAAGAGGAAGCCAATCAATGTTTCTCTCTCACATCAATGCTTCTCGCTCTCTTTCCCTCCCCTCCCCACTTCTTCTCTCTAAAAATCAATACAAAAACATATCCTCAGTGAGGATTTAAAAAAAAATAATAAAAAAAATTTAGCCTGGCCAGTGTTACTCAATGGTTAGAGCATTGGCCCAAGCACCGTAAGGGCATGTACCTGGATTGCAGATTTGATTCCCAGAAGGCAAGCAATCAGTGTGTCTCTCTGAAATGTCTCTCTCTCTCTTTCCACCCTCCTCTCCTCCCTCCCTTCCACTCACTCTAAAAATCAATGGAAAAAACATCCTTGGGTGAGGATAAAAAAAAATTAACAGGGTTGCAGGATGCAAAATGAACCTAGAAAAATCAATTGTATTTCTATATATTAGATATATTTTTCTATAAATTAAACACTCAAAAATAAAGAAAATACTTCCATTTATCATAGCATCATAGTATTTTAACAAAAATACAAAAAAATACTAAAAAGAGTGGTTCAAAGAAACTGAAGACCTAAATAAGTAAAAAATTCTTTAATAAATGAAAAACTATTCTATTCCATATCCATGGATTAGAGGGAAATACAATACAAAGTAATTTAAAACTGCCCCACGATCTCTATCAGAATCCCAGCTAACTTTTTTTGCAGAAATTGACTAGCTAATTTTAAAAGACATAAAAATTCAGCAAACTAAAAAGAGCCAAACAGTATTAAAAAGGAAAAGTTTGAGAACTCACTTCCTAACTTGAAAACTTTCTACAAAGCTACACTCATCAATTCAATGTGCTACTGGCATAACATATAATTAATGGAATAGAACAAAAAAGAATAGAAATAAATCCTCACATGTATCATTTACCTGATTTTAGACAATAAGGCCAAGGACAGTTTGAAAAGAACAGTCTTTCAAACACATGTTCTGGGACAACTAAATATTCACATTTAAAAAAATGAATTTAGAATTCTTATCCTACCACATGCAAAAAATTAACTCAAAATGGAATACAGACCTAAATATAAAAGCTACAACTAATAAGGAGAAAATAATTTTTTTTAATATCTTGGAGACTACAGGAGATGATTTCTTAAACAGGAAACAAAAAGCATATGACAAAAAAGGCTCCATTCCAGGTAAACAGAAGTTCATCGAAATTAAAAGTTTTATCCAGAATAACAGAATCTTTAGAGACAGAAAGCACACTGCTGGATTTCAGAGTCAGGGAGAAAGGATGAAAAGAAAAAAGACTGGGGTGATGAAACTGTTTGAGAACTTGGGTACTGGTTGCACAACAGTTGTACTAAATTCCATTGAATTGTACATTTCAAAATGGTTAATTTTACGTTATGTGAAGTCACCTGAATAAAAAAACCAAAATTTTGTTATAAAAAGGACACTTTCAAGAAAGTGAAGACAATCTATCTAAAATAAGAAATATTTGAAAACCATAGTTTGGTAGGGGAATTATTATATAGAATATATCAAGAATTGTTATACATCAAAAATATAAAGAGAAATAATTAAATGGCTTAAACAGGAATTTCTCTAAAGATGGTATACAAATTGCCAACAGATACACAAGAAGATGCTCAATATCATTAGCTATTAAGGAAATACAAATCAAAACCACAATCAGATACCACTTCAATTCCATAGGAAGGCTAAAATAAAAGATAGACAATAACAAAAACAGAAGAATAAGAAAAAACTGGAACTCTCATGCATTGTGGTTTGGAATATAAATTGGTACAGCCACTTTGGGAAACAGCTTGGCAGTTCTTCAAAATTATATACTCAGAGTTATCATATGACCTAGCAATTCCCCTTACATTATATACCCAAGAAAACTGATAACATATGTCCATGCAAAATTCTGTACATTAATGTTCACAGTAGCATTATTAATAATAGAAAAGTGGAAATTACCCAATGTTCATTTACTGATGAATGTGTACAATGGAATATTATTTGCTAATACAAAGGAACATATATCCAAAGAAAAACTTGTTATGTATATTTTTATCAGAATCATATTAGACACCATCAGAATCACAATACACACAAAAAAACCCAATGTCCATTAACTGATCCATACATAAACAAAACTGATATATCCACACTACTTAATATAATTCCACACTATCAACAGTACTAAATATAACTTGGCAATAAAAAGGAATTAAGTCTGATACATGATATAGCATTACCTAAATGAATGAAGCCAGTCAAAACAGGCCACATATTTATATGAAATGTCCAAAATAGGAATATCCACAGAAAAATAAAGAGTAGTGGGAATAGGGGCTAGAAGAGGGACAAAATGAGGACCATGGCTATAAAGCTTTGTTTAGTATAATGAAAATATTCTGAAATTAGATAGTTCTGACTATTCCATAATTATGTAAATATACTAAAATACACTGAATTGTACACTTTAAAAGTATGAACGTTACAGTTTGTGAATTCTATCTTTATGAGACTGCTTTGGAAAAAACTAAATCGAACTGAATATGTAACTACCACTCAATCCAGGAATACAATCTCAGAGAAACAAAGACCATGTTTACAAAAAAATCTGCACATCAATGTTCATTCAGCTTTATTTGTAATAAACTCCAAACAGAAACACCCTCTAGGTCCACCCTCTAGGGTGAATGATTAAGTAAATCATAGTAAATTCATAACTACTACACAGCAATAAAGGAAACTAGCTATAGATACATACAACAACCTGGATGGGCCTGCAGAGAATTATGCCAAGTGGGGGAAAACCCCCAAAGGGTTTTAAAATGACAAAATTATAGAAACAGAGAAAAGACTAGTGGTTACTAGTGGTTAAGGAGAAAAGGGGAAAGAGAAAGCTGAGTGTAGCTACAAAGGGGCAAATAAGGGATGTCTGTGATGATGGAAATTATCTCCTACCATGAATGTATAAGTGTCAATATTTTGTTTATGATATTGCATTACATTTTTGCAAGATGCTACCACTGGAAGAAATTGTGTAAAGAATACATGAGATTCTGTATTATTTCTTAACATGGTATGTGAACCTACAATTTTCTCAAAATAAAAGGGTTTTGTAAGGCCAGTTAATAGAACACAGAGCAAGCTATATATATTTTCTCTTGTTAATCAGTGGTTATTAGAACATAAAAAACTGATATTTACCTAATACCCCAAATTGGAAAAAAGAATAAATTTTATGAAGTTATTATACAGCAATTTAAAATAATAAATATGGGACTTCTAGAAAGACAACTTGAATTCTTCCTTCTAAGTGTTCTAGCACCCAGAAAAATTCCTTTTGAAATGATGATAAAAATTAAAAAACTGCTGAGGATAAAGGAGGCAACTATAGGATCAAAGAGGATTAAAAGACATATAAAATACACTTAGAAACGTATTTGGATCTTGATTCAGACAAACTGCTAATAAAACTCTGAGAAATTTTTTTTTTATACTTTATGAATAAGAACTGTGTATTTAGATATACAAAAACCTCTTAGGAATCTATAAAAAACAACAACAAATAGGAGAAATAAACAATTAAATGATATGAGTAGGCATTCACCAAAAAGGAGACAAGAATAGTTCAAAACACGTTGAACCTGGAAAAATTAACAACTCTGACAAAAACAAAACACTGGCAAGGACTATAAAAATAATACAAATACACTGGGAAACAAAGATTAAGAACTCAAATAGTGAAAAGACTAGCTCTTAAACAGTAACATAAGCAAATATAACTGAATGCAAATATTTATGAAAGAGAATCATTTAGTTACAACCTACAAAGAACTGTTAAGAAAACAGTCTTACATTCTTAAAAATGAAGGTTCTTGTATCCTATGACACACTTTTATTTCTGAATATATACCCTGAAGAAATTTGTTAATAGCTGTACCAGGATATATATTCAACAATCTTTATAGCAGAATTATCTGTATTATCCCCAAACAGAAAGAACTCAAATGTCTGAATAATAAAATTATGAAGTATAATATAACCTAATATTACTAGAATATTTGTTCATGAATAATGATATATGATTTTATGCTCATGATCCACAAATCCTCCAATCAACCCTAACAACTACATGGAGAGGTTTTTTAAAAGTGCCCAATTATATCAATGTAGACATAGTATTAGAGAGTTGAATTTCTTTCTGAATCAAATTTCTGTGCACCTGTGTACATTACCAGAGAGAACCACTTTGTTTTTTGTTTAATTCTTGGCTCCACATTTGTTACTGAGTCCAACTTTCCATTATAACAAATAACATTTTCCTGTATTTTACAGTTTATTTTAACCTATAGAAACCAACAAACAAACAAATGCCACAGAGAAAATGAAATAATCTGACATAACCTGAGGAAAAGACATTATAATCTTGTATTTGTGATGGAAATTATTACTGTAATAAAAATAGTGTTAAATTTGGATTGGAATAGACATACAGTGAATCTTTATGAGAAACTCTTTGATGAAATTTATAAGTATATTGCTAAATAAAACATATATCTAAATAATTAATTTTATTTGAAATGGTACTACTTTACTGTTTGAACTACTACCTTAAAGCAATCAAAAAGATGATCAAGTTGTTCAGGAGAAAAATCCCATGCCAATTTTGCCAGCAGATCATGTACATTCTTTACAATGGCTTCATGCTTCCCTGCCTGTTGAAGAAGTAACATGACGTAAACATAAGCAAGCAAACAACAAAAAATTATAGTGTACTTAAACTTTAATAAAGATAGGAACTAAGTAGTCTACTATGTCAATCTCTAATAATTAACAAAATGTTTCCAACTACGTCAGCTGAGGTTATTTATTACAGAACTCCTTATATTTTAAATGCTTCAAGTTGCCATTTACACTAATTTTATACTCAGTTTCTTAGTATTAACAGTAACACACTTTAGGAATTTATAGAATATTTTCTAATAAAATTAAGAAAAAAATAAGACAAAGTAGTAAATGTTCAAAAGCTGGAAACTAAGTGCTCAATGTCAACAACAATGAATAGTTTGTTGGTTTCTCATAAAAATGAGAACCTTTGTTACTTAGAGCTTAATACTTCCCAACTAATCCATGAAAACAAAACATGTCATTAAGTTAATTAAATAAATCCTTTTGAAACTAGAAAGGTCACTTATCCTTATGAAAAGTAAAATCTTAAAGAACAATCAGAAGTCTTTTAAGTATAATAGTAATGTTACCCGTCTAATGTTTGTTTCTTTTAAGTTTACAAGAAAAAACATCCATCTTATAATTGTTATCAGTCTACATTTAACATATAGAATTATTATGTAACTTATAATTCATACCCATTAGCAAACACTGTAAAGATGGGGAAAACTTTTTTTTTTTAAAAAACACACATTCTTGGCAGGATATCTGCATATATAAAATGTTTATACTTAATGTAAAATCACATGTCACTATATATGACTACCACAAGATATATAATTTTTAGTATCTTTCTTATAAAAATAAAATAATTATCATCTTAAATTCCTTACTTGTGCTGTCCAGATATTATCAAGATCCTGTAATGTCAGAGCTTTTTCTTTAATCACAAAACGAAGAATCTTCTCTAGCTTTTCTACATACTGAGGTTGATGAAGGCTGTCTTGCAAGACTATGGATAAGATATTGTTCTGTTGTATCCATTCCTAAATGTAATACAATAGTTTGTTTCAAAGCAGAAACTAAAAATAAGCCTTTTTTAAAAAAAGCAAAATAGAGAGATGGAATTGAATAAAAAGTGGTAAAAAATGTCAAACTTTCCATTATGAGAAAAACAAGTACTGGGGATATAATGCACAATATGATGGCTATAGTTAACACTGCTATTTTACACACTGGAAAGTAATGACAATATCGTAAAAGGCTTCATCACAAGAAAAAGCCCTTTTGTCTCTCTTTTTGTATCTGTATGAGATGATGAAGTTAACTAAACTTGTGTTAATCATTTCACAATACATATAAGTCAGATTGTTATGCTGTGCAATTTATACAGAGATGTATTTCAATTATACCTAAATAAAACTAAAAATAAATAAATAAAAACAACAACATGGTTCAGATTTCTAAATAACATTAAAAAGTTAAAAACCTGCCCTGGCTGGTGTGATCCAGTGCTTAAGAGCGCTGGCCCAAGCACTGAAGGGTTTCTGGTTCAATTTCCGGTCAAGGGCACGTTTGATCTCAGGCTCTGGTTGGGGCACATGTGGGAGGCAACCAAATAGATGTGTCTCTCTTGCTTCGATGTCGCTCTCTCTCTCTTTTTCCATCCCTTCTTGCTTCGATGTCGCTCTCTCTCTCTTTTTCCATCCCTCCTTCCCCTTCCACTCTCTTTAAAAAGCAATAGAAAAAATATCCTCAGGTGAGGATTAACAAAACAAAACAAAACAAAACAAAACAAAGGTTAAAAGCCCAAATCATTTTTATGTTCACAAATTATAATATACTAATAAAATGTATTTGTGCTGTTTTAATGCAAAATTATTCAATAACACAATAATTACATAGAACTCTATTTTGCATGCAACATGTTCCCATATTTAATGCTAAATTTACAAATTATAACACATTAATGTAACGTGCTTATTTCTGTTTTAATCAATAAATAGTTGCATAGAATTTAATTTTTCTCAAAGAGAAATGTCCCTATAAATTTATCTTAGAACACTTCTTAAAATAACAGGACAACAATTCATATATTTCTAATTTGAGTGACAGTCTTGTATAAAAAACAATAAAAATGTCACAGGAATAACAAATTTTTTCAAAAGTTTCTGAACACTCATTTTCTGTACCTGTCAAGTATTAGTAAAAATTCAAGAGCATTCAGAATAAATTTGCAATGGACACTCCACAAAGGCAAAGTGCATACATAAAACACTAAGTTAGGAGCTGGGTCTACATTATACTATTTCTCAATACCATCCAAGTGTCCTCAAAACACCTTTTATTACATTTTGATCTTTTACAGTATTAAACAAACTATAGACTCCTTTAAGGTACACCTTGTTCTTCACAGATATAGCCCCAATGTTGGCATACGCTATCCACTAAAAAAATATTACTGAATAACCCATGTGGTCTACTGCTTGCTACTCATTTCAACACTAAAATAAGGGGCAAGGCCAAAGAAGGTTTACAGTTTTAAAGTACGCAAAACACAGTTTATTCTTGTATTATTATTTATGAATTATTGTGTTATTTTCCACATGAACAGTAAGTCTACTTTTGCCCCAGCCTGTATATGTAAATATTTAGGGAAGTTTTCTTTCAATTTCAAGTAATATAGATATAAGTAATTTTTAAATGCAGTTATTAAAATTATAACAAAACATTAATCCATGGATACTTTACATTTTAAAATGTAATCCCCACCTTAGAACAGATATCTAAACTGAAGTGACAAGTTATCAGCACACCAATTCATTCACTAAATTCCAGATCTACCAACCACTCTGAATATCACCTATATCTGCTTCATTTTAACCAAATCACTAAACTATAATAGCAACATAAGCACCTACATTAAATAATAAGTTGGAGCTTCTGGTAAAAGATGGTGAAGTACGTAAATGTGATACTGGCATCCTCCCACAACCACATCAAAATCACAACTAAACTACAGAATGACCATCATGCAAAATGCCTGAAATCTAGCTGCACATAAGTCCTAAAACAAAGGACTTAAAGAAGCCACATGGAGATTGTAGGAGGGGTGGAGCCTAGGAACAAACTGGTCTCACATCCACAAGTGGAAGATAAAAACTGGGAGAGCTATCAAGACTTCGTTGCCCCTGAAGAGAGTTCCTAGCCCCACAGCAGGCACCCCAGTCCTGGTCTCCTGTACTGGGAAGAAAATTCCCCAAACCTTCTAGCTGTAAAAATCAGCAGGGATTATGGCCAGTGACACAAAGGGCTGCTGTAGTCCCCACAGCATTCCTCTTAAAAGGTCCTCTTATGGACTTATTTGGATTCACTCACTCTGAGTTCCAGGGCTGGGACACCATGATCATAAGGAGGAAATGAGTTGCCTGGCCTCTAGGCAAAGTCCTGGCAGAGGTCACAATTCCTTTTCTGAGCTCTCCCCCACAGAGCAAGCAGGCAGGTGTCATGTATGAGTATTCAACAACCTGACTCACACTGTTCCCCCTTACCTGTGATTTCGAGACAGACCCCTCCCCACACAATGTGAGGGGCTACTCAAGTCATTTCCAGTGTCTTTTCCATATAAACAGTCTGTCTTATCTCATTCCTGAGACTTTACTAACATTTTTCAACCAAGCTGCATCTGGCCTCAACATGCCCCAAACCTCTCACTAAATGGCTGCAAGCCTGGCCCTACTGGCAAATGGCCTTGGTTCACAACTTGGCCTCTCCTGGGCAGCTCCAAGCCTAGCACTAATAGCAGGAATCTACAGATCACTTTGTAGCTCATGCCAGGAGGCCCTGGGCAGAACACAGGCAGTGCTGACCTTGGACTGCACCTCCCAGTGGATAGTTTCCGACGATGCCAAAGTAGCATCCAACTATCTTCACAAGTAACATACCCAATGGGCAAACTCAGCCGGCACTAGAACTGTGCTGAAGAGAGTCATGCTCTGTGGGGTTGGCGTCTGCATAGTTGATTCTCCAGGGATCATCACAGCAAATCCTCAAAGCATATCAGCCTGGGGGTAAATCCCTCACATTGATGTGTCAACAGCAATCAAGGCTCAACTACAAGAAGGAGCTCACAGATTGCATGGGGGATGGTTCTGGGGGGAGAAACACGTGAAATGCCCAGCTCGGGTGAATGGGGAGGATGTGCCACTGGACCCTACAGGCCACTTACTACATTAAGCAACTCTACAAAGCCTGGGAGAGGTAGCAGCTCTACCTAATACTACATACACAGGGAGGCTCCCAAAATGAGGAGACAAAGAAACAGGCTTCAGATGAAAAAACACAATAAAACTCCAGAAAAAGAACTAAATAAAAGGGAAACAAGTAATCTACTCAATGCAGAGGTCAAAACAATGGTTCTAAAACTGTTCAATGAACTTAAGAGAAGAGTATATGAACTTAGTGAGAACGTCAAAAGAGTAACAGAAACGGAAAACATAAAAAGAACCAGTCAAAAATGAAGGATACACTAACTGAAAAGAAGAATACATTACAAGAAATCGACAGTAGAGAAGATGAAGCAGAAGATCAAACAAGGAATTTGGAAGATAAGGAAACCAAAAACACCCAATGAGAACTTACAAACATCCAAGAAATTAAGGATAGTATAAGGAGCCTCTGGTAATATTTCAAGTGTAATAACATTTACCTCATGAGGGTCCTGGGAGAAGAAAGAGCAAGGAATTGAAAACACATGTTAAAAAATAATGACAGACAGTTAATATTTGACAAAGGAGGCAAGAGTATACAATGGAGTAAGGACAGTCTCTTCAATAAGTGGTGCTGGGAAAATTGGACAGATACATAAAAAGAATGACACTCGACCACCAACTTTTACCATACACAAAAATAAACTCAAAATGGATAAAAGATTTAAATGTAGGTCACAAAACCATAAAAATCCTGGAAGAAAACATAGGCAGTAAAGTCACAGACATCCCACGTAGTGGACTTTTCACTGATACATCTCCTAGGGCAAGAGAAACAAAAGAAAAAAACATATGGGACTATATCAAACTAAAAAGCTTCTGCACAGCAAAAGAAAACAGCCTCAAAATACAAAGGAGCCCCATGGTCTGGGAAAACATATTTGCCAAGGATGAACCTGACAAGGGGCTAATTTCCAAAGTGTACAAAGAACTCATAGCACTCAGCAAGAGAAAGACAAACAACCCAATTAAGAAATGGCAAAGGACTTAATTAGATACTTCTCCAAAGAGGACATATGGATGGCCAAGAGACACATGAGAAAATGCTCGAGGTCGCTAATCATCAGAGAGATGCAAATTAAAACCACAATGAGGTATCACTTCACACTTGTCAGAATGGCTGCCATCAACAAATCAACAAACGACATGTGCTGGCGAGGGTGTGGGGAAAGGGGAACCCTAGTACACTGCTGGTGGGAATGCAGACTGGTGGAACCACTATGGAAAACAGTACGGAGGTTCCTCAAAAAATTAGAAATGGAGCTACCGTTTGACCCAGTGATTCCACTCCTAGAAATGTATCCTAAGAATCCTGAAACATTCATCATAAAGGACCTATGTACCCCGATGTTCATAGCAGCACAATTTACAATAGTTAAGATCTGGAAACAGCCCAAGTGCATATTAGTAGATGGGTGGATAAAAAAGCTATGGGGCATTTACACCATGGAATACTACGCAGCTGTAAAGAAGAATCTCGTACCCTTTGGGACAGTATGGATGGACCTGGAGAATATTATGCTAAGTGAAATAAGCCAGGCAGAGAAAGACAAATATCACATGATCTTGCTTACATGTGGAACCTAAAGAACTTAATAAACTGATGAATGGAATAGATTCAATGACATGGAAGCACAGATGAGACTGATGAATGTCACAGGGATGGAGGAGGGCGGGTGGGTGGAGGGAGAGAGAGTAATCAAAGAATTTATATGCATATATACACAACCCAAGGACATGGACAATGGTGGGGAGAGGGACTGGGGAGGGGGAAGGAACGGGCTGGAACGGGTCACTGGGGAGAAAAAGGGACATCTGTAATATTCTAAACAATAATAAAATTAAAAATAATAATAATAATAATAATAATAATAATAATAATGACAGAGCCCTAGCCAGTTTGGCTTAGTGGTTATAGTGTCTGCCCGCAGACTGAAGGGTCCCAGGTTCCATTCCGGCCAAGGGCACAAGGGCAGGCAACCAATCTATGTGTCTCTCTTACACTGATGTTTCTCTCTCTTCACACACCCCCCCAAAAAAAAACAATGGAAAAAATATCCTCTAGTGAGGATTAAAAATACTACTATTACTAATAATGACAGAAAACTTCCCTAACTTGGTGAAGGAAATAGACATACAAGCCCAGGCAATTCAGAGTCCCAAACAAGAAGAATGAAAAGAGGCCCACGCCAAGACACATCATAAATAAAATGGCAAAGGTTAAAGATAAACAAGATCTTAAAAGCAGCAAAAGAAAGACAGTTCCCTACATGGGAGCTCCTATAAGACTGTCAGCTGATTTCTCAACAGAAACTTTGCAGGCCAAAAGAGACTGTCACGAAATATTCAAAGAGATGAAAAGCAAACACCTACAACCAAGATTACTTTACTCAGCAAAGCTATCGTTTAGAATGTAAGGACATGTAAAGAGCTTCCCAGATAAAAAAAGCTCAAGGAATTCACCACCACCAACCCAGTATTATTACATGAAATGTTAAAGGGTCTTCTTCAAGATGAAAAAAAATAAAAGATAAAAAATATGAATAAAATGGCTATAAATACTTACCTATCAACAACTGAATCTAAAAAACAAAGGAACAAGCAGAACAGAAATGGACTCCTATATAGATACAGAGAATATTCTGACAGTGGCTAGATGGGAGGAAGTTAGGGGAGTGGGAGAAAAAGGTGAAGGGATTTAGAAATACAAATTGGTAGTTACAGAATATTCATGGAGATATAAAGTGCAGTACAGGGAATATAGCCTTTAGTATTGTAATAACTATGTATGCTGTCAGATGGGTAAGAGATTTATCACGATGATCACTCAGTTATATAATGTCTACTCACTGGGCTGTAGCCATTAACTAATAAAATACTGAAACTAATAAAATATTGTATGTCAACTGTAATTAAAATTTAAAAAAATATTTAAAGTAAAAAAACCCAAACCAAAATGAAAATATTAACCAAAATTACCCTATCATTTCAAAATAATAAATCATTTATCACTATTATAAAGAAAGTTAATGAATCAATCTCCAAATTTCAGTGTTAGTTTTTGTTACTGTTTCTTTAAACATTAATTGATATCAATCATGTTTGGCTTAAGCAGGTTCTTAGTCATGAAAGAAGAATCAAAGGGACTTACGGCCATTCGCTCAGCTGTCAGCCATTCTTCCTCCTCAGGATTACCATGCCGATGTGCATAATATGATACACTAGATATCACTTTGTTAATTTCATTCAATGCATTCATCTTTCCATTAAAAGAAGAAATTTGCAACAATCTATAAGAAAAATTATTATTAAGTATCATTATAAAAAGTCAAGCAGATAATTATTTAAAGAGGAAAATATCTTACCTAAGTATCATTTTTAACCTAAAAATTTCTAAATTTTTCACAGTTTCATCTTGTTCTGGAATCCTTGAAGCTAAATTCTTCAGAGATTTAATAATCATTGAAAGGGCATCATTTTTGGTTTCATTTTTTGCTTCTTTTTTCAGTTCTTCATCAGTTAAATTTTCTAAAAACTGTGGAACTATTTCTATAACTGGAATAAAGTATTTTTTGACTGTATGTTGACTGAGAAACTCATAGCATTGTCCAAATGGTCTGAAAAAAGGAAAACACAAATGTCTGTAACATCCAATAATTTTATCAAGACTGAACTACAAAATAGTTTCAATACTTAAAAAAATTCACATTTTTACTTTAAAATAAAAATAATGACTAGAAATTTTTAAGGCAATACATTTTATACTACACTGAATATTAACTTTAAAACATAACTTACTTAATAAGGGCTGTAATTATTTGAACATTCAATGCTGATCCATTAATAAACCGATCATGCAAAATCTGGAACCCATTTAATGTGCCAAATTTATTGATGAGATCCACTAGCCAACCCTGGAACACAGTTAATAATGAGTTAATTCTTTCCTTAAGTAAGAAATAAAATTTAAAAAGTTACTATGTAAAATATATTTGTTTGAAATAAGTTAGAATTAGAAATTCAATAAAATAATAAAATTATCTTTAAAAAAATACAAAATATTTTTATTATATGGTCATACATATATTTATTCATAGAGACTTAAAACTTCCTATTTTATTTTGCTCTCTACATCCCTTGAAACAGAAGCAGCTCAGATGACAACTACAGAGTAGGTTATAAGGGCAAAGTTGGTATTTGTTCCTATCCCACGTATCTAGTGAACAGGAATTAGGCAGGGGTCATGACATAGCTTAAAACATTTACATATGTAAAGTGGAAAATAACCTTAAAACTTATATAAATATAAAAGTCAAGTGTACAAGCATAACTGTGGAAGAAAAATCTTTATATCTTGTCTTCCAAAATGCCATATTTTAAAAAAATTTTTTTACTTCTCACCTGAGGTGAAGTTTTTTATTCAAATTATAAAGAGAGGAACAGAGAGAGAAACTTCGATGTGACCTAATTCTAGATTTCATATCATGGAAATCTAAATAAATTTTAAAACTGCAGTAATTAAATTATTTTATTTCTGAATGGCTTTACTATGGCAATTTCCTAACTTTTTACTTAGTTTCAAAGGGCTGAAAAAGGAATGACATGAGCAGAATATCAGATTATGAAGCTCAAAAGTTTGCTCTTGTTAAATAATTTTATGAGGCTCTGGGAATCAGTCCAAAATTTACAGCAACCAGGAAATTCTCAATTATGAGAATGAAAGCCACATTCAAAAGGGTTGTGATTTCACTGTATTTTCACTCAGCCATTCCTACTCCTTCCCCTGACTAGCACAATTTAAGAGACACAGTGGTCCAATCACTAGTTCCCTTATATGAACTGAAGACTATAAGGACTGAATTTGTAACAATATAACCTGTCCATTAGAAGCCTGAGAGAATTGGTCTGTGTGGCCTGCCTTGGAGATAAAACCACCAAAAGTGGCTTGGAACTCAGGATAAGGAAACCCAGAGGAAAGAGCAGGCATAGTTAATGAAAACCCCAAGATTACTGGGGCAAATTACTAATTAAGGAATACAACAGAACTAAGGCCCAAAAAAGCAACATATTTGGGGGAATTAAGGCATTTAAAAGTAATCATGTACAAAGAGAAACTAGGGAGAGAAAAAAACATGGAGACTGCTCAAGGAAAACACATGCCCAGGAAAGACCTTAGATGACCTTAAGGTTTCATAAGCTCATTAATGCATTTTCAATAATGGATAGCACAACCAGATATCGGTAATGAAGAAATGGTTCAATGTAACACTATGGAACAATTCAACCTGTCAGACATCTCACAACACTATATCCAACAAGAGCAGAATGTACATTTTTCTTAAGAACACATGGAACATTCTACCAGAACAAGTCTATTAAAAAAAAGACTGAAATCATAAAAAGCATCTTTTCAGATCACAATGGAATGAACTAAAATCAGTAACAGCAGAAAAATGGGAAAATCAAATCTGTAGGAAAAAAACAATATTCTTTATTTTTTATTCCAAAGAATAAGGGCAAGGGGGAGAGAGTGAAACATCCATTTGAGAAAGAAATGTCCATCAGCCACCTCCCACATGTACCCCAAATGTGGACTGAACCTGAAACCTGGGCCTGTGCCCTGACTGGGAATCCAACTGACAACTCTTGGGTGCATGGGACGACCCTCCCATCAACTGACCACATTGTAGCCAAAGGCAACAGTACATTCTTAAAAAACCAACTGACCAAAGAAGGAATTAATGCCAAGAGAAATATTTATAAATACATTAATGAAATAAATCTCTATAGTCAACAATCACTCTGCTCCTTAAGGAACCAGAAATATATCAAACTAAAATAAAAAAGAGCACAGGAAGAAAAGCATTAGATCAGAGATAAAAATATAGGGGGAAAAAATCAAAACCAAGAATTATTTCTTGTAAAAGATCAACTAGCTAAAGAAAAGAAAAAATACCTAAATACCTAATATCAGAAATGAAAGAGAGGACATTACTATAGACCTCACAGAAAAGAAGATTAACAAGTACTATGAATAACTGTGTGCCAATGTATCAGATAACCTAAATAAAGTGGACAAAGTTTAGAACACCCAACCTACACCACAATGAACTTGGAGTAGAAATGTGAAGAGGCTACAATTAGTGAAAAGATTGAATCACTAATTATAAACCTCTGAACAAAAAAATAACAAAGACCACATTTAAAGAATTAACATCATTCTCCTCAAACTTTTCCAAAAAACTCAAGAGGATGAAACACATTCCAACTCATACCGAGGCCAGCATTACGCTGGTACCAAAGCCAAAAGAAAACTAAAACCTGACATCCCTGACGAAATTGATGGAAACTTTCAACATACTAGCAAACAAATTATGAGGAAATTATATATGTTATACATACAAACAACAGCAACAAAACACCTGATCATCTTAACTGATACAGAAAATGGATTACACAAAATTCAACATCCTATCATGATAAAAACACAACAAACTAAGAAGAAAATAACCTCAAAATAATAAAGTCAATATGAAAAATCCACAGCAAACATCAAATGCAAAGTTTTTTCAAAATCAAGAACAAGATGTCTGCTTTTCCTAAATCTATTCAACAAAGCACTTAAGTCCTATCATGGAAATTAGCAAGAAAAAATAAGAGGCTTTCAAATAGGTAAAAAAACTGTAGAATTATCTCTAAACATGTATTTTTCACATTACTTTATAGAAATTCTATATTGTTTTGTGTTATTTTTCAGACTTGTGTTTATGTGTGTCCATGAGTGTGCACTAAATCTGTGTTCTGCTTTCTGTTTCTATTGCTAGTCGATTTTTTCCATGTGTTTAAATATGAATTCAAATGAATAAAATTAAATAGGCTCTGCTACATAAAAAAGCCATTAAAGATATTAAGCCATGAGAAATTAAAATGAATAGAGAGAGAACAGGGACTCTTCTATGTAGCCTAGATGGATAGTTCAGTGCTTCTCAGTTCTGTTGATATGTGTTCCTGCTTCCTTCTGCCCTACTTCCTTGAATTAGATATACTAGAATTTGTAGATTTTCTCCTACCACACCAAAAACATTGCCTGCCCAGGGTGGCTCAGTGGTTGAGCATTGATCTATGATCCAGGAGATCGAGGTTCGATTCCTGGTCAGGGGATGTGCCTGTTGCTAGCTCCAACCCCAATGGGGAGCAAGCAGGAAGCAGTTAGTCAATGACTCATCACTGATGTTTTCTCTCTCTCTCTTTCTCCCTCTCCCTCTCCCTTCTGAAATAAAGAAACACAAAAAAAGACCCAAAAAAAAGAGAGAAACCAAAAGCATCATAAAAAATGTCTAATAATATGTCACTGAAGCAAAAGTGTAAAATTTAAACATCTTTGTTTTTGTGGTCTATACATAAATGTATATTTTCTGTTGTTAAATATATAAAGAAGTGCCAACAAATAGAGTTGATGCTCATTATTTACATTAGTTATATTCTCTAACACTGAAGCAGCAAACACTGAATTATTGCTGCTAGGGAAAATTTAGCGTTAGGCTCCAATTACCATATTCATGAACTTACTAATATATAAGTTTTATTCAGGCATGAATTATAATGCGGCTGGCCATGAGTTGAATTTTAATAAATGTGTCTTTCCAAAGAAAACCACAGAAAACAAGGTTATGTTAAAAGGGAGGTTCGGGTCACTTAAATTTTGTCACAAATACAAACTAATTTTAGTATTTAATTTTGGCAACAACAAACCAACACACTTTTGGTAATCGAGGATCTGAGGAACAAGCAAATAATTCATCTTCAGGCAACTGTGTACTTGTGGAAATTGAGTCACACGGGCGTGTACCATTGTAGATATGGAATTTACAATAAGGATTTAAGGCCATGGCGAGAAGTTCTAGAAGTGGAAACCAGTCTTGGGACAACTTGGCCACACAAAGCTCCACTAGGCGATGAGTATTATTAATAATACACCTCTGTTATATGGAAAGGAGAGAAAGAAGGAGAGGAAGTTGATTTAAAAAGAGAAAACATTGCAATTTCTAATACAAAAAAATTCTAATCTTGTTAATAATAATCTCTTAATCTTTCTACACTGGTCATCTAAATTCTGCTTAATTTCACAAATACAGTGACCAAATGAATATATCAGTAAAAATAGTATTTCATTGAACGGCACCCAACTTTAAAAGTTATCTGAGTAGGGTTACAAATGAAGTAAGTGCCACAGGTTGTCTATTTCTGTTCTATGTCCATAGGATTCATGTAATTACAATTTTCTTTCTTTGGAATTAGTACTTTAAAGGCAATAATTCCAAAACCTAAACATTTAAAGCCATGTCAGCTATCTATGATGGGGAGATGTAATCTAAGCCTTAATTCTAAAGTCACAGGTCTTTTCCAAAGTGTCTATATCTACAACTAAAAAGTTACATCAGAAAATATTAGAACTTATAAACCACAGTCATTTATTAGAAATTGTTAAGTTATATTTTCTAGATTAAATTTCACAAAAACTTTGTTTATTTCATAACTTCTGATTAATTCCACTTTATAAATGAGCATAAGTTTGAAGTACGGTATGTCCAATAATTCTAATAAGATACATATTTTTTCACTTTCAAAATTTCTAGAATATGAAGGTGTCTTAGAATCAACGGTAGTTTGCATTACTTTTGTCGTAAACTGAAGGCATTCCTGTGAGTACTTGTGTTTCATGCTACTAGTCACTTGAAGATTCTATCACTCTGAGAACACTTTAAATTCTGTTTGACCTTTTGTTATTAAAATTGTAGTCTGAATTCATATCATAAACTTGTGAAAATACTGGTTTGTAGTTTAAGTTTCTAGGGAAAATTTTCTTTTCTCTACCAGTTGCCAAACCTTACAAGAGTTCTTGCTTATCATTTCTGCATGATGAGTTAGTTTATTTATAGCTATATTAGCACTAACATTATACCCTTTGGTGTCCCAGCTAGATTGGGAGTCCCAGCTAATTACATTCCCTATCTTGGATATTTTTCTTTCTCAATGGTTCATAAAACAGTGGACTCTTTAAATATATAACATAATACATTTGATTAAACACAGTATCTTGCATGAGGTCACAGGCACTTGGGATTCCAGGTGACAGATTAAAACAGTTTCATAACTAAAAATCTCAAACTCATCCTAAAAGACTATTCTAAAAGTTCTTCAATTATGTCAAATATATCAACAAACTAAATATATTATTCTTAGCAATGTTTTCCAGAGACAAACACACAGGGATAAATCTGAGTCTTCAAAATAAATGACAAAACTCACATGAATTTCAAACTTCCAACCACTCACTGCCTCGTCCATGAGAATTTTTGTGAAAGATATAGTTAGCCCATCTCGGAAAAACCGCTGACATGCTTCACTTTTAACATCAAGACCTAAGAAAAGATGAAAAAGTTCAAATAAATGGTTCTGTGACCAATCATATCATTAAAGATACAAATTATTAGAAACTATATCGTTTCCACTCACAAGTACTACTGAAATTTTGAAATAACACATGGCATTATCATAAGAAGTTAAAAATAACTTACACTGAAAACGTGGAGTTCTGAAAAATGAAATGCTCTGTTCAGTGAATTTTAGAAATACTGAGTTATATATAACCACAACAAATCAATATTGTTACAGTAACCAAAAATGCTTCCAAATATAAAATGGACTTTCAACAAAGACAGTTAACGGGTAGACAGAATATCAAACCATTTCAAACATTTTACTCAGAGAAAATACAGTTCTAAACCTTTAAAAAATGACTTCTAAAATTTCATTTCACTGTAAATTATCTGCCAAATTTAAAAGATAAAAGCTGTCATTTCTTTCTAATCAGTCCTTTCTCTTAGACTGATAAGCATTTTACTTGTTTCATCTGACTTAAGAAAATAGTTTCATGTGCCTTTATCCAGAAAGAAAATTTTACTCTTTACTGAAAGTCAGAAACATTAAATTCGCACAATACAATATAGTAAATTTGGTTTTTGATTATATATTTATTGATATATCATTTAAACCTAGGACTTCCCTTAAAAAAAACTTAAGATTTTGCCTCAGAGTAATCATAGTTCTAATAGTTCCTGAAAAAAGAGTGGGGAAAGTCCCTGCTAATGATATATATTCACTGAATGGCAATGCTATGAAACAAAGAATGTTTTCAATTTCTGTTCATCATCTACATAGAACATACTTATTCAATTAATGAACATATTTGCAAATTAATAAAATAAGTTTGAGTGTTCACAAAAACACTGGTTATGTGGTTAAATATTTTCAGTCACTAGATTATGTTAATAAGTTTAAAATTAAAGATAACAAAACATTCTTTAAATGACTACACGATAATTACTATTAGTTAAATGAAATTATTTCCCTTGCCACAGAGTTAGACAGACTCAGCATCAGACAGATTTCATAAGGAACCAAAGATATTAAAATACTGATTAATAACAACATTAGCACTCAATAAACACATCATAACAAATACCCCATTTCAAGTTCTTGTTTAATGACCTGGAAAATAAAGTGCTTTTCCCCTTTGTTTTAGCTTTTAAGGCCTTGACCAAATAGAGAATATTACAAAAACTAGTCATGTACTAAAAGAATTCAGCTGCACGTAATATTAGAAGAGTCATTGAAAAATGATCAATTCCAAAATAAAACTTACTTCTAGCCAACAGTAAAAATACCAGATTTTCTTTATTGGTTGCTGTGTGTTTTTAAAAAAAGTCAAACATTCAATACTGACAGTTAAAGTGCAATCTTGACAGTTTATTATAACAGCATTAGTGAAATAGTAGTTTTCATTAAAAACAAACAGATCAGCATGTTCTTTGATTCCCTGTCTTTTCAAATGACAATTCAAATATATATATTTTTAAATGTCTGTATTGATTTTTACAGAGAGAGGAAGGAAGAGGGAAAGAAACATCAGTCAGCTGCTTCCTGCATACCCCCTAAGGAGGACTGAGCACCCAAACCCTGGCATGTGCCCTGACCAGGAATTGAACCCGAGACCTCTTGGTGCAGGGGATGGTGCTCAACCAACTGAGCCTCACTAACTGAGCAAATTCAAATATTTTTTACTTAAATTATTTTAAAAGCAACATTTTTATTTTTATAACATTAATGTAATAACATTATTATAATTTCTCAATTATAAACACTTTAAGTGCAAAAAAGTAAATATGTATCTGAAGTTATATTGTCATATAGTAAAGTATTATTTAATGATACTATTTCACCTAGCATATTTTTTAAACCAATTCTAGAAAATGTTTTCAACTTCTGAGTAACAACCCCTTTAAAAATATAATGAAATTGATCCTGTCCTTAGAAATATGATTATCATATAAAAGTCTGCATAAAATTTTTTTTAATCGTTACCTGAGGATATTTTTTCCATTGCTTTTCAGAGAGTGGAAGGGGGGGAGGGAAGGGGGGAGATGGAGAGATGGGGAGAGAGAGAGAGAGAGAGGGAAAAAAACAGATGTGACAGACATATCGATTGGTTGCCTTAGGAACATACCCGACTGCAACCAAGGTATGTGCCAGTGGCCGGAATCAAACCAGGGACCTTTCAGATCACAGGCCAATGCTCTAACCACTGAGCAGGCTAGGCAAGTCTGCACAAAATTTTAAAGTACTCAGCTGTTCTTAAAGACCTTCCAAAGTTTCTATGAACCTTTGCTCTAGGTATATATAAGCCCCATCAGAAAGTTTAGTGAGATACTGTAATTTTGGAATATATAATAACTTCCTAATAAGAGAAAAGCAAAGCTGCAAGAACAATATGGAAGCATGCATTACAAAAAATATAGTAACATAAAAACTCACCCTTTTTACTAAGATCAATGGCAGCTTCTAAAAGCACTTCTAATTCTCCTTTTGGCAAAACAGGAACCACCCATCGAGGCCTAAAAATTATTATAAAATAAAAGGATGCTGCATTGGTTGAGTAATTATCAAATGCTATAAATAACTTGTCTACTATAATTACTTTTACTATGAAAAAGTGAAAAAAACAAACACTGACTAAATTATATACTCATAATAAAATTTAATGAAAAGATTCACCACCTTTTTCTTCTGATCTTCACAATGACAAGATAATGTCTCTCTCTTTTTTTAAATCCTCACTCGAGGATATTTTTCCATTGCTTTTTAGAAAGAGTAAAAGGGAGAGAGATAGAGAGAGAGAAACATCGATGTGAGATGCATCGATTGGTTGCCTTCTACACACACCCAGACCAGGCAAGGGGACTGAGCAAGTCTGCAACCAAGGTACATGTCCTTGGCTGCAATTGAACCCGGGACCCTTCAGTACATGGGCTGATGCTCTAACCACTAAGCCAAGCCATCTAGGGCAATAACCTTTCTCTTTTGATTTTCAAAAAAATGTAAGAAACGAGGAGACAATTGTCTGAGGACATTTAACAATTTTTCCTGAAGATTATGAAGTCAGAGTGTCCAACTCTTACATCAAAAAACAACGCAAAGGTGACCATAGCCAGAGCTAGTGTTTCCCCAGTATCTTAAAATCTAACCCACTACTTCCCAAAGAACTTCCTTCCATCTTTTCCTCAATTCTTTAAAGACAGTAATTTTCCCAAATATTTCTATTTTGATAAAAAAGAGACCTGTTTTTTATATCTGTTAGACATAAATCAACACTATTTTATTATTGTTTTTAGTTCCACAAAAAGCATTTTTTAAAAATTTCCCTGCCTCTGTTACTATAACTCAGTTCTCCATTCCTAATTACAAGTATACTCTAATAAAAATTAACCACCGGACAAATGAAATAAACAATATAACCTCTTGCAATAATGTATCTGCTACAAAAAAATGGACACTAAGACCTCCAGCAATCAAAATACCAAGGAGAACCAACTTCATAAATGCTTAAAAGGAATTTCCTACCTATAATTCCAGGCCTGAAACTTAAAACCTAGGGTCACATAGCATCAACTTGAAGTCTTTATTATCTTTCAATTTTTAAAAGCCCATAAAAATCCCTACATTCAGAACACTGAGTTGTAATATATGTGGTGAGGACTAAAATGTTAAGGCTATTAAGAAAACACTAAGATTACTATTGCACTCCACTGTTTCTCATTTACTACCAGTTGCAATGCTAATAAAGTAGTTTGTTTTTTTGGTTTATTACCTCCATAAACAAACAGACAAACAAACAAACACCAAATCCACCTGTTGATCATGTCATCCAGCTTTGCCAGGTCACTATGGGGAAATTCAGGTTCCTCATCTTCATGCTGTGGCGGAGCATCACCTTGACCTTGTTCATCTGGAGGCATTGCTGGGGAATTCTCATTGGAGGAATCAGATGATAAGGTCTTAAAAATTAAATATGTCAGACTTAAATTTATATAACACATGCACAATATTTAACAATTCAGAAACCAACAAAGATTTGTGAAAATACGTATTTTAAAGTACCCATATATATATTTAATAAAATTGGAATCACACTGCTTATCTTTTTTCTTGGTTAACATGTGAGAAATTTCCCACATGATTAAGAATATTTTTAATATTAACTAATAGCTACATAGTACTAAATGAATTAACCAGGTTGAACTAGAGAACATTTTTTGTAATGTTTACTGCAAATAAAATACAATTGTAATAAATCTTAATTACACATACTTATGCAAAAGGGTGGGTAATGTATGCAAAGAGATGAAATTCAAAGGGAGAACAAAAAAAACTTACTAGAGATAAAAAACACTAACACCAATGAAGAATGTCTTTGATGGACTCATTAGTAGACTAGACACAACTAAAACAATCTCTAAGGCTAATAAACATATTAAGAGAAACTTCCAACACTGAAATGCAAAGAGGAAAAAAAAAACTGGAAAAAAAGAAACAGAAGTATCCAAGGATTGTTGGACTATAAAAGGTGTTAACACATGCACAGAGGGAATAGCAAAGTGCAAAAAAGAAAACAAAAAGAAAAGAAAGAAAACAATTTGAAACATTGACTAAGAATCTCCCCCAAATTAATGTCAGATGCCAAAGCATAGAACTATGAAGTTCAGAGAACACCAAGCAGGATAAATGTCAGAAAAATGACATCTGAGCGTATCATACTCAAACTTCAGAAAATAAATGGTAATAAAAAATACTGAAAGAAGGCACGGCAAAAACACCTCTCCTATGGATAAGAAATACTTTGGACTTCTCTTCAAAAATAATAAAAGCAAAAACATTTTTTACAAAGAAAAAGAAATAATGCAGTGCAATATTTAAAGAGTTGACAGAAAATAACCACCAATCTAGAATTCTCAGAATTCTCTAACCTCACAAATTATTCTTCAGAGAGGAGAAACTTCTCATACAAGAGTAGAGGAAATTTATTGTTAGTAGATCTGGCTTTTAAAAAATAGTTTAAGTTCTTCAGACAGAAGGAAAATGACATAGGTCAGAAATTTGAATCTATGTAAAGAAAAACAGAAAGTAAAATAAAGAACTTTTATTTTTCTTATTCTTCAATAAGTATAACAATTTGTTCAAAATAATATAAGCAACAAAGTATTCAATGACTATAACTAATGATTAAAAGAACAGAGGGAGGAATTAGAAATAATTTATCATAAGGAATTTAACTAACCATGGAACTATAAGTGTTATTTGAAAGTAGGTGTACAAATTAATTTTAAATGTTATGTTGCAAACTCTAAAGCAACTACTGTTAAGAGTCAAAAAAAAGTGTAATAAGGAAAGAAAAGGGAATCATATAAAATCCTCAAATGAAACAAAAAGCAGAAACAAAGTGAAAAACAAAAATAGGAACTCAGATAAGGTATATGAACAGAAAATAGTAACAAATATGGGAGGTATTATTGAAACTATTTCAACAATTATTTTAAACATCAACCATTTAAATATACCAAGTAAGACAGAGTGCGTCAAAAAGCAAAATTCAACTTGATGTTATAGTTAATTTCAAGTTTGTTTTAAAGTATAAAGGCAAGTACAGATTAAAATTCAAGGGATGGAGAAAGGTATAGAAATAGACCCATACCAACAGAATCAGCTGATCATTGACAAAGGAGGAAAGACAATACAATAGGGAAAAAAGTCTTTTAACAAATGGTGCTGAAATAACGTCATCGCATGCCAAAAACAAAAAAGGTATACAGAAACTAAACTAGACATACACCCTTCACAAAAATGAACTCAAAATGGATCAGAGACCTAAATGTAGAAAGCAAAATTGTTAAACCTCTCAGAACATAACATAGGAAAAATTCTTGGTGATAGGGGGTTTCATGATTACTTCTGATACAACACTAAAGGCATGATCCATCAAAGAAGGAATTGATAAACTGATTTCACTAAAATTAATAATTTCTGTCCCATGAAAAAAAAGCTGAAAGGTCTCAGGTTCAATTCTAGTCAAGGGCACTTATCTTCGTTGCAGGCTCGATCTCCAGCCTGAGTCAGGGCTAGTGTAGGAGGCAACCAATTGATGTGTCTCTTTCACACCAATGTTTCTCTCTGTCTCTCCCCAGCCCCTCCACTCCCTCAATAGGAAAATATCCTTGAGTGAGGACTTAAAAAATAATAATATAAAATAAAACTAAACATACTCTAATCATACAATCCAGCAATTATGTGTTGGTGTTAATTTAAATGAAATGAAACCTTATGTCCCCACAAAAACCTGCACATGGATGGACGTTTATAGAAATTTTATTTATAAGTACCAAAACTTGGAAGCAATCAAGTACCAAGATGTTCTTCAGACATACAAAAATAAAATGTTAATCAATGATTTTTTTAAAAACAAAGCTATCAAGTCATCAAGCTATGAAAACACTGAAAAACTTTAAACACATATTACTAAGTGAAAGAAGCCAATCTGAAAAGGCTACTTTATTATTCCAAATATATTACATTATGGAAAAGACAAAACTATAAAGGTAGGTTAAAAAAAGAGCAGTAGCTGGGGGTTTGGGAGAGGGAGGAATGAATAGGCAGAGCAAATTTTAGGGCAGTGAAACTATAAATCTATAACTAAACACTTGTGGAAAACCACAGAAGGTACAAAAGACAAAATGAACTGTAATGCAAACTATGAAGTGTGGGTGATAATGATGTGCCAATGTAATTTCTTTCATTAATTTTAACAAACATACCACTCTGGTAGAGAAGGGTAAATGTGTAGAGGAAGGAGGGCAACTCTGTACTTTTTGTTCAACTCTGTTGTGAACCTAAAAACTAAAATGCCTACTAAAAAAAGAAAAAAGTACAAGAGAACAATTTAAAATTACTGAGTTGAGCCCTAGCCAGTTTAGCTCCATGGTTAGAGCACTGGCCCCAAGACTGAAGGGTCACAGGTTGAATTCCAGCCAAGGGCACATATCTCAGAGACAACCAATCGATGTGTGTGTGTCTCTTTCTCCCCCACTTCCACCCTCTCTGAAAAGCAAAGGAAAAAATATCCTTGGGTGAGGATTAAAAAAACACACAAAATATTGGGTTCAGAGGAATTAATAAAAGATAATATAAAAATAAGCACTTTAAAAAACAGATAGGAAAAGACATCCCTCATAATAACCCTCCATCCTTCTCTAAAATGTAGTAGCATTTTACTAATACAGGGATGCTCCAAGGTAGGTTTCGAGTTGTAAGTATGAGAAACACAGAGTTTATTCATGTATTATTATTATTGTTTTATTTACTTGTATTATAACTATGAATCTACTTTTGCCCAACCCTGTGTGTGAGAAATAAATAAGAATTACTGAAGATTAAAGAGATATCTATATAGTAAATGGGTCAATCACACAAAAAAACACTATTTTCAATTTTCACACATCTTACAGGTTCAAAATATATCTAGTTAGAATTACTAAAACAGTGAAATGGGCAAGTTCACAATCCCAGGTAGTGATTAACATCTCTTCCCTAGTAATAAAACCAACAGATTTAAAACAGAGCAAAACAAGGCCATTTGGAACCATGTGAGAATCATAATGCAAACTGGAAATAAGTTACATGTATAATGAATACCATATCATAATATATAATTTTTTTTCAAGTACTTATGAAATTAAAATTGACAATATGCTGGGCAATGCATCACGTCTCAATAAATTTTCAGTGATGTAGTGACATCACTGAAAAAAAAGATAGTCTCTATCCACAGAGGAATTAAGCTACAAACCAGTGAGAGTAAGTAGAGCAGAAAATCTTCAATTGCTCAAAAATGAAGCACTATGTAATAAAAAGAAAAAATCTTACATCAAGAAGAATGACAGCACAAAGTTTAAAATATGTTAACTGAATGACAGTAGACAGAAACATAAGTCATGGGATGTGATTTGGCAAGACTTAACAGCATTTAGAAAATATAAAAATGAAAAGAAAAGCTGAAAAATCAATTATCTAAATTTCCATATCAAGAAACCAGGAAACAGCAAACCAAAACCAAAGAAAGGAAAAGGAGTGAATTAATAAAAATTAAAAGATAACATATACAAATAAAAATACAAAAGACAATACTTTGCAAAATTTAATAAACTTGATTAACCCTCCCCCAAAACTGAGCAAGAAAAAGTACAAATTACCAAAATCAGAAATGAAAAAGGACTAATAATGTTAAGCCTTTTACAAATATTTTTCCATTTACCGTATACAAATCTTTCCAAAGAAAAGATTTCCATTCAGACATACATAAAAACTTTCACACTAAAATCTGTCAAGCCCTTTACATATATTATTTCATTTATCCTCACTTTAATAACACAGAAACTAAGGCTTAAATATTATATTATTTAGTCAGAGTCACAAGGTGAGTGTGCTTTTAACTAAAGGTTATAATTGTACAGGATAGTAAGAAACTAGGAAAATTCCTGGGCAAGGGGAAACTGACGAAACAAAATTAAACAAGGCCAAACAGTTTGGGCAGCTTGCAGGCAGCTTGCAGGCAGCTTGCAGGCAGCTTGCAGGCAGCTTGCAGGCAGCTTGCAGGCAGCTTGCAGGCAGCTTGCAGGCAGCTTGCAGGCAGCTTGCAGGCAGCTTGCAGGCAGCTTGCAGGCAGCTTGCAGGCAGCTTGCAGGCAGCTTGCAGGCAGCTTGCAGGCAGCTTGCAGGCAGCTTGCAGGCAGCTTGCAGGCAGCTTGCAGGCAGCTTGCAGGCAGCTTGCAGGCAGCTTGCAGGCAGCTTGCAGGCAGCTTGCAGGCAGCTTGCAGGCAGCTTGCAGGCAGCTTGCAGGCAGCTTGCAGGCAGCTTGCAGGCAGCTTGCAGGCAGCTTGCAGGCAGCTTGCAGGCAGCTTGCAGGCAGCTTGCAGGCAGCTTGCAGGCAGCTTGCAGGCAGCTTGCAGGCAGCTTGCAGGCAGCTTGCAGGCAGCTTGCAGGCAGCTTGCAGGCAGCTTGTGAACTCAAGACCTTATTTTTATCTTCCCTACGCAAGGACACTTGATATGGTTTCTACCCTCCTCCCTAACCAGAGAATACATGGCTTAAATCACCCTGGCCTGGGAAAATAGAAAACAAAGACCCAATTAATGCCATTTGTGACAGCTAAAAACTCAAGGACAGATGCAGTTGGGGAACAAACAACAGAAACTCCCCTAAAGCCCACAGCTGGCGTGGCTCAGCGGTTGAGCATCAACCTATGATCCAGGAGATCGTGGTTCGATTCCGGGTGAGGGAACATGCCTGGGTTGCAGGCTTGATCCCCAGTGGGGGGTATGCAGGAGGCAGCCAATCAATGACACTCTCATCACTGATATTTCCCACTCTCTCTCCCTCTCCGTTCCTCTCTGTGAAATCAATACTTTTTTTTTTTTTAACCCTACTAAAGCCAGACAGGCCCCAGATAAAAGTAAGAGAGACCAAAGAATTATCCAAGACTCCCATCTACACTCATTTTACTGCATCAGCATATTTAAAAATGCACCTGGAAGGCTGATGAATATTCTATTGAAACTCTTCCCTAAGATTCTTGCCTGCAGGAAAAAAAATGGATAAAACACCCTCAGGACAAAGACTCAATGTGGGCTCACTTTAGAGCACACACATGCCCCTTCGTGGGCATGAACTTTTTATTTCTTCCTCATACCTAAGGGTGCCATGAGACTTGTAGCCAGGGGAGCAGTGGGCAGCAGCAGCTCACCCTTGGTCCCACACACTGATCCTGTCTCCAAGATCCCTTTTCTCTGACTTCCCAGAGAGCTAAAGCAGCCCCACCTTGGCTCACTTCTTTCCTATAACATTTCTAGGGAGCCAAAGAAGAGCACTGCCTAGGCTCTCTGCTGCTTCTTCTACCTGATTTTTTCCTTTGTTTCATTGTCCCCAGCATTAATAAATATACTCTCAAACCCATCTGGACTTGTATTGCACAAATCTTTCCTACATGAAGTCAAGGAGCCACACACTACAGGTGGCCTGAAGCAGACCTGCACCAGTCTGGACCCTGTCCAATAACATAATGACTGCTTTAACGTTTTTGTCCTCAAATTCACACACAGGGTCTTACATACAAAAAAAAGTAGAGGTACACTCAAGCTTGTATAGATTTCCTGTCGCTAAGAGACTCAATGACTTTTAAGTGTACCTTAAAATGACAATAGCTTTTGATTACTTTACGAATTACTCAGGATGTGTGACATTGTTTAGTATTCTATAGCACCCAGAACAACAATGACCTACCTGATTCTGTTGGAAGGGGGGCTGAGACTGTCCATCAGGAGTGTGACCCTGACTGTCATTCTCTCCTACTGGAGAGCCACAAGTCATGGCAGTCATACTGACAGAGAACGGATCTTTTCCTACTTTATCTGTTTATATGGTTGTTGTAAGAGAAGAAATTATAGTCTACTTATAGGAGATAAAATACCAGCATATGTCAGCCTTAAGAATCTCCAATTCAAGGCCAGACCATCTTGCATAGACCATTTCATAACCTAAAAGTAGAAGAAAAAAGATATACATTTAAAAATATTAAAAACAAATAATGAATCATTCCAATTTTCATGTGTATAATAACATCACCAGAATCTATATGTTGTAAACTCAACTTAAATTCATATTGTTGTTCCAGTGGTTGTAAGAAAACATACACGTGTCATCTTAATACTATTTACACTATTTCATAAAAAATTCAAGGTTCTTAGTTGTCATTTTTGACTCAGAATCTGTAATATGCCTATCAGATGCTGCCTCAAATAAACTGTGTAAATATAAATACTCAAAGGTAAGATGAAGATTTCTCTTTAATAAGTAAAATGAAAACCCCAAGTTGAGAGAAAAATAATGAGATTCCATAAGGATAGGATTACAGACTAAGTAGATAAAAAACCCCGAAGTATACATACACACATAAAACATATACACAACACACACACACTCCCTATGGTCACTCTAAAACCAGTCTCTTTCACTTTTGATTTCTGTATATAAACATTCTCATTTATTAAAGCTTTACAGGAAGTAGATGGTTTTTTAATAGTTTTTTTTTTACCTTTACCCGAGGATATTTTTTCCCATTGCTTTTCAGAAAGAGAAGGGGGAGAGTGGGAGGAAGAGAGAGAGAGACAGAGAAAGAGAGAGAGAAACATGAATGTGAGAGAGACACATTGATTGGCTGCCTCCTGCACAAGCTACCAACTAGGGTTGGGGATCAAGCCTGCAACTGAAGTATGTGTCCTTGGCTGGGATAGAACCTGGGACCTTTCAGTGGATAGGCACGAAGTAGATGATTTTTAAAAGGGTACCTATCATGTTCTGTTTGAGTTCTGTCACTAAAAAAACCCCAAAAAAACCCTACAGTAAAACCTGGATATAATGGACTAATTCGGGCAAGAGGGGGTCCATTAATGCTTGAAGTCCATTATATAACAAAGCAGGTTTTCCAAATATGCATGTTAAAAAATTGACAGTTTACCTGTTTTTACTTATGTAGACAGACATGTTTGTGTAAGTAAAATTAAGTGTGTATGAAAAGTTTTATTCCACAGAAAAGTTTTCTGTATGTATTAGAGTAACTCTGAATTATACTGAATAGGTATAGTATAAATTTGTGCATTCATTAGTCACTGAGTAAACAAAAGCACACAGCCGGGATGTAGCTTAGCACACATCATAATACTGACTGGTACACATTAAAATTGCTGCAGAAAATCACACCATGCGACCACAGAAACAATTATTGGGATAGCTGAGAGGTGGTATCATGCTAATCATTCCCCTAACATTGTATACAAGTGGTGATTCTTGGATTTAAATATGTAGATTAGGACCCCTGGCCAGTTCTGCTCAGTGGTTAGAGCCTTGGTTGCAGGCTCCATCCCTGGCCCCATATGGGTGCAGGCAGGAGGTAACCAATCGATATAAGACATTGGTATCTCTCTCTCCCCGCCTTCCACTCTCTCTGAAGAGCAACGGAAAAAATATCCTCAGGTGAGGATTAAAAAAAAAAAGTGTAGACTATAGTTGTAGATATGTAATATTTATTTATGTTGGTAAAGTTACTACAATGGTTTTTCCAACAAATGACCCATTTGCTAAAATTTGTTAAAAATAAGTGAATTAATAACAATAACAAAAATGATGCGTTAATTTAATTATAAGCAAATCTGGGTCAAAAGCATTTTAAAATTAACAGGGTGTGAATTTTCACATATGACAAATGAACTGGTAATTTTATCAGTTAAATCCCGGTCCAAAAAATCACAAGTTTACTGTACTTAAATAACCTTTACATACAACTAAACTAAAAAAAAATAAAAAAATCAGTTACCAATTCAATTTCATTCTTTACTACTACAAATTTATTCTAAGTTCTCTTTGTTTTGTACTTTTTCCTAGGCTCCTAATCTCACTGTAACATGCCCATCTCTAAAAGGACTTTGTTTTTCATTCTCTCAACTTCTTAAGTATATTTGTTATCCTATAAATACACTTAAGTTTCCTCTATTAAAACCCACTAATATCTGTCCTCCAAAAATTTCTTGAAAAAAATGTCTATACTCTTCCTTTTTCTCATCATTTGGTTTGTGTTCAAAATTGCTTTCATTAAGATTCATGGCTTTGGAAAGAACCCAATTCCACTAAAACTACATGCAATGCTTTCTGTGTGTGTATGTGTTTAAAGATTTTTTATTGAGGGAGAAAGAGGGAGAGAAAGAAACAAAGAGACATTAATGTGAGAGCGAAACATCAATCAGCGGCCTACTGCAAGCCCCCTGCCAGGGATGGGGTGTACAACCTAGGCATGTGCTCTGGCCAGGAATGGAATTGGCAACCCTTGGGGGCTATGGATGATGGCAAACAAACTGAGCCACACAAGTGAGGACAGTGTGTTTTTTTAGAAGACAACAGAGATGACTTCTGGTTCAAGATCAAGGCCCTCAATCTTGGGTTTCAGGTCAAAATGGAGGCTTAGGTAAACATGGTACTCAAATCCTCCCACAACCACATAAAAAATACTACTAATCTTCAGAACAACCACCATTCAGAACTGCCTGAAACTGAACTAATGAAAGTCCTACAACTAGAGGATTAAAGAAGAAGCCACACTGAGACTGGTAGGAGGGATGGGAATTGTGAAACAGGCAGGTCCCACACTTACATGTGGTGGTTTTTAATCCAGGAGGATATCTTGGCTTCAGAAGTACCCCCTGAGGAGCAAGGAGTCCCAGCCTTACACCAGACTCCTCAGCCCAGGGTTTCAAGTCCCTGTAACTTCTGGCTGTAAAAACCAACAGAGATTGTGGCTGAGTGACACACAGGCTGCTGGGGTCCCAGGCAGTTCCTCTTAGAAGGACCATGCATGGACTTACTTAGACTCCCTCCCTCCAAGCTTCAGTGCTGGGGTTGAACCTTGAAAGGAACCAGAAACATAAAAGGAGGAACTGAATTTTCTGGCATCAGGGCAAGACTAGAGGAATGTGAGTGTGTGTGTGTGGGGGGGGGGGGGGGGGGGGGGGGA